TAATTGCAAGTGATTTTTCACAGGCGGACAAAATTTAGAATGTTGAAAAAAACTTCACTAATTTCTTCAAAAACAATCAAATTTGAGTATGTACACTTATAGTACATACTTTAGTACATACTATACTAAAATAACATTTCTTAACTATATATAGTACAGCCAGTATAAATTTTTAAACTAACATTGCTACTACATACTAAGTTATACTACAGGCTATCAAATTTATAAACAATATTAATAATTTAAAAAAATAATTCAAACTGTCTAATTTTATTATATATTAGTAAATATAACTTTAGACAAACAACATACTAAAATTACAACCTTATACTATATATAGTACAGCTTTTATATAATTTGAACTATTATATATATATATATATATATATATATATATATATATATATATATATGCATAGCTGGGCATTAACTCGTTAATCCGTTAATCGTTAATTAACGAAGTTAACATTTTGATTAACGGATTAACTTTTAAGTTAACTTTTGAAAATGTTAACGGACACGTTAACTTCCGTTAAAATGCCAGAAGTCCGTTAATCGTTAATCCAATGCCCAGGACCGCAGGCGGCCGCCTTTTGAGACGGCCGAGGGGCGGCCAAATGAAAAAAAGAACAAATTCAAAGACGGCCATAACAAAAAATGGTCGAAATAAATAGCTGTTGCATTAAAAGTCTACTGAATTTAAAGGCGGCCAAATTAAAAGACTGTTGGATTAAGAGGCGGCCAAGCTCAAAGTCCGCTGAACTCATTCGCTGCCGTAAAGTCCGCTGTATATATCTAAAAGACTCAGCCAAAGGCGGCCCTATTTAATGCGACTCTGTTTCTAAATAATTTATAAGTTATAAACTTGGTGTAAGTGGCAACTTTGCCTAAATCAAGTTGCATGAAGTATCCAACATGTGTTAATAATCGACTTAACAATGAAAATATATTAATTCATGAGTACATTGCAATGTGAAAAACTATCGCAGATTATTCAATTTTGTACAAATTTTCTAAAAATATTAGTTATGTTTTATAAATAGTTTAAAAATTACATATTATTAAACAAGAAACAAACTGTAGTAAATTAAAAACAAGATCCAAATTTCCAAAGCAATTTGTTAATCAATAACTGAAAAACGACTCGTCGATTATTGACAAAATTTAATCAGCAAGATTCTCAAATGGAAAACGTTTGTAATGGTTTTTGAATTTTTAAAATCAATTCACTAATTAAAAATTTGAGACTTTTTTGAGAATTCTAAAGGCAAAACTAAGCAGCACGAGTGCTTATCGAATTTACGAATTTTGACAATTTTTCAAATGGGATTGTGCATTTTTGAGAAAAGGTCCACTAAAGATGAAATTTTGACTCACGTAAAAAAGCGCCGCTCATTTTTGCAATCTTTGAGAGTACATATTTTAAAAATTAAAATGACTTAATGTGGGTCAAAATATTTAGTTATCTTAGAGACCATGATCACTATCGCCAAAAAAGTTTTATAAATATCATCGTAAAGCAATATTCACCAATTAAACACGAAGAAACGAACCGATCTCTTAGAAGTAATCAGCACGATTCCTAAATGATATCTTTCAAACAGTTCCTGAATTTTTAAAATCGATGCAGAATTTTTGGCTAAAACGTGTACAATAAATTTTATATTTTTCTGTTGATTAGAAACAGCTTGGCCGATCGTCGCACAAAACTGACAGGCGCTAGTCATTATCTAGTTACATCAAATGACTTTTAAACTATTGAATTGGATTTAACCGTTTTTGAGAAAACATTGCCGAAAATTCAAAAATCGGCTTTCAAACGATTCAGAATGACTTAAAATGTCGAGAAAACTTGAAAATTACAAGACGATTTTTTTCGTGAGAACATATTGGATATTTTCCTATTATGCTATTTTTAAGGGCGGCCATTTATATGCTCGCACGCAGGCGGCCACATACCCAGGCACGGCACTGCCAATTATTACTATTTACCGCACGGCACAGCTTTAGCCAATGCCTTATTAAATGACATAGAGAAAAGATTTGGACCACTCGTGAATGATGAACAGTGCCAACATGTTCAAAAGACTTGTTCAACGATGCTGCATTCCTCGAGGAACAGATATTCATAAATCAATTTATTAAATACAATACTGCTATACCCTCAAGCGCTGCAGTTGAACGTTTGTTTTCCACGGGTAAAGACATTTTGACACCAAAACGAGCCTCGCTTTCAGACGAGAACTTCAACATGTTAATGTTCATGAAGAGAAATATGCACCTAATACCCGACGCTTAACCCGTCGCGCGTTTCCTATTTTTCGCAAAAAAACTCTTTCCCTTTATTTAGAAAAAAATTCTTGTAAAAACAATATGCAATCATAAAAACAGAAAGTTGACCAATAGCGTTATTATCACGGTGTGTGCATAAAGCGCGTCGCGCCATTAAGGGGTTGAATTACACATTTGAATTATACAAGTATGTTGTTTTATTCATAACCTGTTAACTTCCAGAACCTAAACCAATAAGTTTCTTAAGTTCAATAACGCAACAATATAAAAATGTAATTTTACACATATTAACGGATTAACGATTAACGTTAACTTGCGTTAATTATTCCGAAATGTAACGCTTTAACGTTTAACGAAGCTAACTTTTTTTGTAGCGGATTAACGATTAACGAAGTTAACTTTTTGATTAACGGTGCCCAGCTATGTATATATGTATATATATATATATAAGGTTGTCAAATATCTCCCTTCCGCCTTTTTGTATTATAAACCAAGAGCAAAAAAGCGGAAGGGAGATATTTGACAACCTAATATATATTTATTTATTTAAGTATAAATTTATTTATATATTTTCCGTTTTCTAGAGTGAGACGCATCTTGGAATTCAATTTTTGCAGAAATCGATTAAAGAAAATTCAGTGTCTGTTCGAAACAAGATAATTTGTTGATAGGAGAGGAATATTAAAAATGGATAGGAAAGCAAGAAAAGGTCGAAAAAATTCGGGTGAGTTAGTTATATTGTCTTAAATTATTATATACATATATACATATATATATATATATATATATATCTGGTAATTAAAACCCAAAATTTTGTCAAAATTAAGATTTCTAACTGCTCAAAGAAAAATTTACTAGTAAAAAGATTTATGTTCTCTCAAAGTTTTAAATTAATAAATTCCTAAATAAAATTCTGTATATATGTAAGCAAATTTTAGATATGTCGAAGTGTTTTTTGATTGAAAACTGCTGAAATGATTTAAGAAATTTATAAGTCATTCGACCTAAATCAATGAGGACACGTTTTGTTTAGTTTTTGGTACATACCGGTCAAGCAGTTTCTTTTTAAATCAATTTTTGACCAAATTTTGTTTTGATAATTGGTTTATATATAAAAAGAATGTTATCTAAAAAATCAACTTAAAACAGTTTATGATATTATACAATGTTTGTAAGGTGAATGCAAAGTTTAACAATTTTTTTCCAAACAATTTTGTTCTTAGAGTTTTAAATTGTTATATACAGATTTGTAGATAATTTTATTAGCTTTCTAACGATATATAATATTATATACATATTTAAACAAATTGTTGAAGAAATTTTCGGAATATGAAAAAATGTAACCGGCAGAAATATTGGTTTACCAAAATGGCGTCGCACGACTCAGTATTAAATTCTAAAGTTTAAACATTTTTTTAATACAATTTTGTTCAAACGTTTCAAATTGTTATATACAGATTTGTAGATTATTTTATTAGCTTTTTAATGATATATAATAATATATACAAGTTTGAAAAAATTATTGAAAATTTAAGTCAAATATAAAAAATGTAACCGAAACGTTATATACACATTTGTAGATAATTTTATTAAGTTCTTAACTATATACAATATTATTTTAACTATCATTTAAATTTTGGAATTTTTATTATATATTAATGATTTTTGGTGACACTTTCTTACATTTGCATTATTTGCCAAAAAATCTGTTGAAACATTTATTTATTATTATATATCACTAAAAATCTTCTTAAATTGTGTATAAATCTGTACTTACAGTTTTAAAAGTTTTGGAACAAAATCATTGATAAAAATTACAAACTTTGCAATTTAATATCAACAATTTATTTGTTCGGTCACACTTTTTTTGCATTTGCATTATTTGTTACAAAATTTGATTGAATTTTAATGCATTATTATATATCAATACAAAGCCAATTATATTGTGTACAAATATACATTTTTAGATTGCAACTGTTGGAATAAAATTATTTATAAAAAAATCAGGAATTAAATATTTGCAGTACGTATTGCATAGCTGAGCAAATAACTATATACTAGATGTAAACTTTACAGATTTTGTTTACATAATTTTGTTTGAAAAGTTATTAAACGTTATATACAGATTTGTAGACAATCTTATTAGCTTTCTAACAATATATAACACTATTGTTATAATTTAATTATTTGTAACAAAATTTACGTGCAAATAAAAAAACGTAACATGAAAATGTTAGCAAAAGACACGCCATTACAATTTAAACTTATTTTTTTCTAAAATTATACCAAAAACTTTATGAACTGTTATATACAGATTTATAGATAATTTTATTAGCTTTTTAACTATATATAATAGTTTATACACATTGAAACAAATTATTTGGAAAATCTATCAAAATATAAAAAAATGTAACCAGCAAACATTTTCTGATAAAAGTCTGACTTCAGACATAAGACAAAAATGACGTCAGTATTTAAAATTTAAACATTTTTATTACAATAATTTTGTTCCAATTGTTATAAATTGTTATATACAGATTTATAGATAATTTAATTACCCTTTCAATGATATATAACAATATATACACACTAGAACAAATTATTTGAAAAATTGCTCAAAATATAAAAAATGTAACCAGCAAACATTTTCAGATAAATGTTTGACTTCAGACATAAGACAAAAATGACGTCAGTATTTAAAATTTAAACATTCTTTTTACAATAATTTTGTTCCAAATGTTATAAATTGTTATATACAGATTTGTAGATAATTTTATTAGCTTTCATTTGATATATAATATTATATATTAATTAAAACAAATATTTAAGGTACTAACATAAATATAATAAATAGTCATATGCAGAATGGTATAATTTAAAAAAATTAGTTAAAGTAGGATATCATTTATATATAAGTTCAAGCAATTTGGTTCAAGGCAAAATGCCACTCACACCTAGTTGCTTGATAAATATGTTTTAAAATATGTTTTTCAGCTGATAGCCAAAAAGAGAAAACAAGCAAAAAACAATCAAGAAGCAAGAAAAAAGAAATATTATCAGATACGACTGACCAGCACGAAGATCTAAAGGCTCAACTGCTATCATCTGCTCAAAAAAGACTGTTTCGAGTGATAGAGGACAGTCCAGACAGTGAAGAGTGTCCGGATGAACCAAAACCAAGAAGAAAGTATACCAGAAAGTCAAATTTGTGGAAATTGAATCTGAAACTAAGTCCAACATCGACTGCAGATGAAGGTTCAACATCAACTGTAGAACCGAAAACTGTAATAGCCAAAAAGGGGAAACGTTTGACAACAGCTTCAAAAGCAAAAAGTTCAAAAAAAGTAACACCTGCATTTGCAACAAGTTCAGAAGACGAAGACACAACTTTAGAACCGAAACCGAAAGGTTCTAAAAAGACAAAAAGTTCCAAAAAGGTAACACGTTTGACAATATCTTCAGAAACAGAAAGTTCTGATGCGGAAGATAGTCAGGATACAATTTTAGAACCAAAACGTTCTAGAAGGACAAAAAGTTCAACAGCTACGAAACCTAAAAGTTCTAAAAAAGAAATAACTTTGGAACCAAAAAGTTCCAAAAAGACAAAAAGTTCAACGACAAGTCCAGAACCAGAATGTTTAGAGGAGGAAAATAATTTATCAGCTTTAGAAGCGAAAGGTTCTAAAAAGACAAAAAGTTCTACAATTTCAGAACCAAAAAGTTCCAAAAAAGAAAAAACTGCAGATGAAACAAGTTCAGAAGAGGAAGACAATTCGATAATAACTTTAGAACCGAAAAGTTCTAAAAAGACAAGAAGTTCAACAAAAACTTCAGAACTAAAAAGTTCCAAAAAGGAAAGAACTGCAGATGCAACAAGTTCAGAAGACGAAGACAGTTCAGTAATAACTTTAGAACCAAAAAGTTCAGAAACAAGAAGTTCCAAAAAGACAAAAAGTTCAATAACTTCAGAACCAAAAAGTGCCAAAAAAGAAACAACTGCAGATGCAACAAGTTCAGAAGAGGAAGTTCCAAAAAGTTCTAAAAAGACCAGAAGTTCAACAACTTTGAAACCAAAAAATTCCAAAAAAGAAACAGTTTTGGAAGCAAAAAGTTCTAAAAAGACAAAAATATTAACAAAAATTCCAGAACCAGAAGGTTCAGAAAAGGAAAACATTTCAACAGCAAATTCAGAATTAAAAAGATCTAAAAAGACAAACAGTTTAACAACTTTAGAACCAGAAAATTCAGAAAAGGAAAACAATTCTTTAACTTTAGAACCAATAAATGCAAAAAAGACAAAAAGTTTAACAACTTTAGAACCAGAAAGTTCAGAAAAGGAAAACAATTCCTTAACTTCAGAACCAAAAAGTTCTAAAAAGACAAAAATATCAACTACAACTTTAGAACCAAAAAGTTCCAAGAAGGTAAAAAGTTTGGCATCAACTTCAGAACCAAAAAGTTCCACAAAACCAAAAAAGGCACCACCAACCAGAGGTCGAAAAAATACCAAAAAAATGACCTCAACAAAATCTCCAGAACAGACTGAAACATCCAAACCGGAGGAGGCCATAAAACCACCAGAATCTGCAGACCAGGAAATCTGCACTAACCAACCAACACCAACCAGTCCAAAAAAACCAAACAAATCAATGGATTCTGAAGAAGAAGAACTTTGGCAAATGATACAAACCACTCCGACAGGAACAAACAAATCAGCACATTCTGCAAAACGGAGAATCTTGCAACCAATACAATCACCGGTGCAAAAATCGTTAGAATCTGCAGAGGAGGAACTTTGGCAACTGATACACAGCAGTCCTGGTCACAAATCTGCAGAATCTGCAGAGCAGGAGATTTGGAAATCAATACCGGGCAGTCCTGGAGAGGAAGATGATGATTGGAAGTCTTTTCCAAATAGTCCTGGGGATGTAAATGAATCTGTGGAAAGTGGGGTGAAAAAATCAGAAGAATCTGCAGAGCAGAAAAGGTTGGAAACTGTGCAAAAGAGTCCTGGTTCACCTGCAGAGCAGAAAATACATAAGAGTCCTTTATCAGAGCAGAAAGTTTTGGAACCGATACCCAAGAGTCCTTTATTAAGGATGTCAATCGATGACTCCGACGCTATTTCACTATACACCGACGATGAGGATGGAATTTTGCAAATCGACGACCCACAATCAACGTCCAAAAATAAAAAACGGGGCTACGACACCGATGACAGCAGTCCTGATGCCCCAAAAAAGTTTGCATATGATTTTGTCCTGAAAGGAAACGATGATGAGGACGACGACGAAGGAAGATTCAGTCGATTTGCCGAAACTAAACCACAGTTTGAACAACATTTTAGTACTTCATTAAACAGTAAACAGTCCTTAGACTTTGCTTTGGATGATAAATTACCACCAGAACCTGTACCAACAAATCCACCAAAAAATGGACCAAAAAGTTTTAATAAGAAGACGCGTTTAAGCAGACCTGCAAGACGAGAACGTGTTGTCCAAAGGTTGTCCTTGGACCAACTTCGTGAACAAGTTGAATCATCCAGGACCAAAAAATGTAATATTTTTGATGCCTACAATAACAGACAGGGTAATGGACTGATGTTGACGAGTTTTGAAGATTGTAATAGACTAATTGATAGGCCACTTAATGTTCCTTTGCACCTGCCTCCACCAAATTTAGGAATAAAACCCTTACCCCACAATATGTCTACACCACCTTTGGAAATTAATTCTATGGATCAAAATTTATCTGTACCGCCGCCAACTTTTGCAAGGCAATTCTGTTCCTTTACATCTACCTCCACCAGTTTTTGGAATACAATCTGCAAGACAAAATCGTCCTGTACCTTTGCTAGCTCTACACATACCTCCTCCTTTAGGAATAAAACCAAGTGCACAAAATTTACCTTTACGTCTACCTCGGCCGGCATTTGCACAAAATTTCCCTTTGCATCAAGATCTTTTGTCGCCTCCGGGAATAAAATCTGTAGATCCGGATTTTTCTGCAACTCCGCCAGCTTTTGCAATGAAATCTTTGGACCAAAGTTTACCTTTACCTTCACCGGCTTTGGGAAAACAAGCTGAAGAACCAAATCTTCCTACGCCTTTGGAAAAACAATCCGAAGAGCAAAGTCTACCAGTTTGTGATAAATCTACCAAACCTGTTGACCTTATAAAAAATAAATACAACCCCCAAGTTCACAAATTATTTGACCAAACTCCCCAGGATGATACCACAAGTCAGAATAATTTAGATGCAAAATCTTTGGCTCACCAAAGCATCCTAAATAATCTTTATGGTAGTAATTACAACAAGTGGACTCTGGTTCACAAAATATCAAAACAACATGCAAAACCCGGTAACAAAAAACCGTATACGAACCACAAATTAAATCCTAACCAAAAATTAAATTCTAACCAAAAATCCGAAATATCATTTGGTAATCGGCCTAAATATGTACCAAAACCAGACACCAAACCTTCAAGGGTACGTCCTAGGTGGATGTACCAGGACGAATTTGGAAAAGGTTTTAGGGAAATTGAGAAAGCTACATCTGGTGAAGACTTAGGGAAAATTGACCAAGTTTCTGGTAAACGCCGTGGTAAAAGACCATTGAATAACAATACCATCACGATAGATGGTAAACAACGGCACAGGAAAAACAAGAAACGTGCTTGTGGAGATTCTCCGAGGTCGTCGAAAACTGATCGGAATTCTGCCAAGGAAAAAAAACGAGGGTCTTTAAATTTAGATGCACTAGGTGGTGATTCTGTGGCTGGTGTTTGTATTGAACCAGGAGAGCAGGAGTCGAAGAAAAATGAGAATTTTAAGTCAAGAAGTCGACTCGAAAGTGGATCTGATGAACACATTGTGCAAGATCCGAAACAAGGCGCAAACTGTGCATTTGGACTAGATTTAAAGGTTTCTGAAGACACTGATAAGGCCCCAAACACTGGTAATGATTGTCTCAAAGTTAGACAAGTTGACGACCAACAAGATGCCATTAAACCAAGTGACAACAGCAGTCTGAAGCCATTTGAGGAAGTTCAAGGCACAAAAATCACATTTGAACAGACTTTTGAGGCAATCGAAAAACCTACATTGGATGACCCTGCAAATCCTCCAGCATCTGATCGCTTTTCTGCCACCGATTGCCTTAAAACTAAACCTTTGTTCCAAAATTCTGCCTCACCAAATGATGACTTTACACCAAATCCGATCCAAGGTGCATTTGGACTAGCCCTAAAATTAAACGACAATCACTTATCTGCTGCCTCTGCAAAGACACAAGAATTACAGTCTTCAAATAAATTTATTCAGGAGCTTGTTGTACCAGACTACGGCCAAAACGATTTTCCCAAATCGATAAACAACAACAACTATCAAGTTTATGTTAGCAATATTAAACCAATGGAACAGGGTCAAGGTACAAGCACCAAACGTCCCTGTGAAGATTCTGAAGAATCTGCAAAACCATCATCGGCATCTGGTCGGTTTTCTGCTAATGATCGACTTAAAACTATACGATATTCTCAAGAAAATGATGGTAATAAAAATGATAATGGTGAACCAAGACAAAATAATAGTGGTCAAGGTAATTTTAAGCCGGTTGAGCAAAGACAAAGTTCTTTTAGAATTGCTTGTGAAATTGCGCCTGATGATAATGCAGTGACGCCTACAAGTGTAGGACGATTTTTTGCCAATAACAGACAGATAAATGACCAACATGATTCTATTAAAGTAGAAAGTGACAGTGGTAGTCCAGTGGTTGCAGGTTGTAGTAAATCAAAGGAGCAAGAGTCGAAACAAACCCAAGGCACAAACAATGCTTTTGGAGTAGTTTTTAAGATGATATCAGGTGATTCTGCAGACTTAGCAAAGCCTCCAAATGCTTGTCAAGAGCCAAAACAAACCCAAGGCACCAACAATACTTTTAGGATGACATCTGGTGATTCTGCACCGAAGCCGCCAAATACGCCTCGATTTTCTGCCAATAATCGTCTTAGAAACAGACGTGTTTCTCAAAACACTAATGACCAACAGGGTTCTATTAAAGTAGAAAGTGACAGTGGTAGTCCAGTGGTTGCAGGTTGTAGTAAATCAATGGAGCAAGAGTCGAAACAAACCCAAGGTGCAAACAATGCTTGTAAGATGGCGCCTGGTGATTTTGCAGCCAAGCCAACAAATGCTAGTCGATTTTCTGCTAATGATCGTCTCAAAATTAAACCAATTGACAACCAAAAAGTGCCAGGGGCAAACAATGCATTTGGACAAGTTTCTGGGACAAATCGGAATCCAAACAATGCATTTGGACAAACTTCTGGAACAAACCAGAATCGTTTGTGCGGAGCCTCTGTAGATTTTGCACAAAAGTCAGGATCTGGCCGATTTTCTGTCAATGATCGTCTCAAAATTAGACAAGTAAATGACCAACAGAATTCTATTAAAGTAGAAAGTGACAGTGGCAGTCCAGTGGTTGCAGGTTGTAGTAAATCAATGGAGCAAGATCCAAAACAAAGACAAGATGCCAATAATGCTCTTGGTTTCAAAATGAGACGTTTTTCTCAAAATTCTGTTTCACCAGTTGGTGATTCTGGCAGTCCAGTGGATGTTAATAATAAACTAATGGAGCAAAAGCCAAAACAACTACAAGGGACAAACCAGAATCGTTTGTGTGGTGCTTCTGTAGATTTTGCTAATAAGACAGGATCTGGCCGATTTTCTGTTAACGATCGCCTCAAAATTAGACCAATTGATGTACCAAATTCAGTGGTTGCTGGTAAATCAATGGAGCAAGAGCCAAAACAAACACAAAGCACTTTTGGAGGCGCTTTAAAGACGACATCTGGCGATTCTGCAGACTTTGCCAAGCCGACAAATCCTGGTCGTCTCAAAATTAGACGTTTTTCTACAAATTCAGTTTCACCAGCTGGCGACAAACATGGTTCTGGCAGTCCAGTGGATGTAGGCAACAATAAACCAATGGAGATAAATCAGAATCGTTTGCTTGGTGCTTCTGTAGATTTTGCTAATAAGACAGGATCTGGCCGATTTTCTGTGAACGATCGTCTCAAAATTAGACAAATTGACGACCCAAATCCAGTGGTTGCTGGTAAACCAATGGAGCAAGAGCCAAAACAAACACAAAGCGCTTTTAAGACGACGTCTGGTGATTCTGCAGACTTTGCAAAACCGTCAAATACTGGTCGATTTTCTGCCAATAATCGTCTCAAATTGAGACGATTCTCTCAAAGTTCCGTTTCACCAGTTGAAGACCAACTTGGCAGTCCATCGGACTTTGGCAACATGGAGCAAAAGCCAAAACAAGTACAAGGGACAAACAATTCATCTGGACAAGATTTTGGAATAAATCAGAATCGTTTGTGTGGTGCCTCTGTAGACTTTGCACAAAAATCAGGAGCTGGTCGATTTTCTGTTAATGAACGTCTCAAAATAAGACGTCTCTCTCAAAATTCTGTTTCACCAGTTAGCGAACAACTTGGCAGTCCAGTGGATGTTAATAATCCAATGGAGCAAAAGCCAAAACAAGTACAAGGGACAAACAATCAGAATCGTTTGTGTGGTGCCTCTGTAGACTTTGCACAAAAATCAGAGTTTTCTGTAAATGATCTCCTTCAAACCACTCCGATTTCTCGCAAGTCTGATACACCAATTGGTAACCAACCAGACAGTCCTGTGGATCAAGGGACATTCAATCCATTTGAGCAGGCTTTTAAGGAAATTGAGAAACGTGTCTCTGGTGATTCTGGAGCAAGATCATCAACATCTGGTCGGTTTTCTGCTAATGATCGACTTAAAACTATGAGGTTTTATCAAAATATTGATGCATCAGGGGACAACCATCGTGAATCTACTAAACCAATGACCAACAATTACCAACCAATTGAGCAAGAGCCAAAACAAAAACAAAGACCAGACAATGCATTTGAACTAGCTCTTAAGGTAAATAAGGAACCTTCTTTTCCGAAGCCGACAAGTACTAGTCGATTTTCTGCTAATGATCATCTCAAAATTAGCCTAGCTGATAGCAATAAACCAATTGAGCAAGATTCAAAACCAGGACAAGCTTTTGGGATAAATCAGATAATTGTAGACAATGCTAAACCTACAAGTTCTAGTCGAATTTCTGATAATGATCGTCTCAAAATTAGATCAGAACACGATTCCATTGAATCAGCAAGTTTGCAGGAGACAAAACAAGTGCAAGGTACTAAATTAATGACCAATATTTGCAGTCAACCAATGGAGCAAGGGCCAAAACAAACACAAACAAATGCATTTGGACTAGGTTTTAAAACAAATACGAAACCTGTTTCTGGTGATACAGTAGACAATGGTAAACCTACAATTCTCAAAATTAGACCAGTTGGCAACCAAAATAATTCCATTAATTTAGCAAGTGAGCAGGAGCCAAAACAAGTACAAGATGTAATAAATCAGAATCGTTTGTGTGGTGCTTCTGTAGACTTTGCACAAAAGTCAGGGTTTTCTGCTAAAACTACTCCGTTCTCTCAAAAATCTGATAAACCAATAAACAACCTTCAAAGTCCTGTAGATGTTGATAACTTCAAACCAACAAAACAGGACTCAAGCAATAATTTTACATCATCCAAAGATACTTCTGTTAATGTAAATGAGAATCTTAATCGTTTATGTGGTGCTTCAATAGATTTTGCAAACAAGTCAACTCCTACTAGCAATCGTGTCAAAATTCGATTTTCCCAAACAGACAACCTACGGGATTCTATTAAGCCAATAAACAACTGCAACACAATAATAGATGTCGATAATTTTAAACCGACGGAAAATGAGAAACGTTTGTTTGGTGCTTGTGTAGACTTTGCAGGTCCTTCAAAAACTGGTCCGTCAAGATTTTCTGTTAACGATCGTCTTAGGAATAAAAATTTTGGGAATAAGATTGAAGCACCAGGAGACGGCTCAAAATTGATGATTAACAATTGCAGTAAAGAACAAAAATCTGAACAAGTGCAAAGTGCAAATGAGAAACGTTTGGTTGGTGTTTCTGTAGATTTTCCGACGAGACCTGGTAGGTTTTCTGCTAATGATCGTCTCAAAAATATACGTGCTGGTCAAGCCCTAAATGCACAAAATGTTCCTATCAAACCAGCAGGAAACAATTGCAATCCAATAGATATTAGTGCCTCTAAACAAGTGCAAGAGGCAAACAGTGCATTTGAACAAGCTTTCAAGGTAAATGAGAATCGTTCTGAACAAGCTTTCAAGGTAAACGAGAACCGTCTGTGTGGTGCTTCAGTAGATTTTGCAAAAAAGGCGACAACTACCGGCCAATTTTCTGTCAAGAATCGACCCAAGACACCCATAAGTTTTAACCAAAATTCTGAGGCACCAGCCAAAGAGAAAAAACAAGGATTTACCTCGACTTCCTTACAGAATCAGAAACGTTTGTTAGGTGCTTGTGTAGACTTTGTGCAGCCTCCAAGACTTAGTCAGTTTTCTGATCGCCTTGGGCCTAGGAACAATAACAGTCAAATGGATAGTGGTGACCCTAAACAGTCTCCAAGACTTGGCGATCACCTTAGACCTAAATATTTCACCACAGTAAGGAACAATAGCAGTCAAATGGATATTGGTGACCCTAGACCTAAATCTTTCACCACCAATAGCAGTCAAATGGATAGTGGTGACCCTAAACAGTCTCCAAGACTTAACGATCACCTTACACCTAAATTTTTCACCACCAATAGCAGTCAAATGAATGTTGGTGACCCTAAACAGTCTCCAAGACTTGACGATCACCTTAGACCTAAAAATTTCACCACCAATAGCAGTCAAATGAATGTTGGTGACCCTAAACAGTCTCCAAGACTTGACGATCACCTTAGACCTAAAAATTTCACCACCAATAGCAGTCAAATGAATGTTGGTGACCCTAAACAGTCTCCAAGACTCAACGATCACCTTAGACCTAAATCTTTCACCACCAATAGCAGTCAAATGGATATTGGTGACCCTAGACCTAAATCTTTCACCACCAATAGCAGTCAAATGAATGTTGGTGACCCTAAACAGTCTCCAAGACTAAACGATCACCTTAGACCTAAATCTTTCACCACAAATAGCAGTCAAATGAATATTGGTGATCCCAAACCGGTGGTGCAGGACAAAAACTTTACATCGACTTTGTATCAGAACAACAAACGTGCTCTTGGTGCGCCTGTTGGGCGGTTTTCTGCAAACGATCGCCTTACAAAAATACGTTTTGGCCAAAATTCAGACAACCAACAGCATTCTATTGACAACCAAATAGACCTTAAGCCAATTGTGGTGAAAACTGAACAAGGTGCTAATATTGGTTTCAAAAATGTTTCGGATTTACCTTTGTCGTATCCGCCTAAAAATTTGGGTAAACCTCAAGTCGTGGCTAGTTCTCAGGCCGGTCAAGTTTTTGATGTGGAAATGGAGGATGTTTTTGAGCCTGTAGATGTTTCTAAATCTGTGCAAGCTGAAGCAATGGAATGGGAACCTATATCCGAAGTTGTGGTCATGGAAACAATTACTTGCATACGTAAAGACTCATCAATCCTCAAAACACCATCAGTGCAACCTTGCCAAAACAAATTAATCTCTGACCGTTTGCACGTAGTTGTCGACACGAATATTTTCCTGGTGCATCTGCACTTCGTGCAGTATGATTTGTTGCATCTAAATTACGAAAATCTGCACCAGCCGGTTGTGGTGGTCCCTTGGATCGTCCTGCAAGAACTAGATTGCATCAAAGATCGCAAAGGCGAGAACCAGCAGCTACAAAATCTAGCCAGACGTGCCATAAATTACCTAAACAAATCCTTCATGGAACAATCCCCCAAAATACACGGCCAAAGCGCTGTCGACTGCTCTAACCACTTAATCACCATCGATTGTCCTGATGATAAAATTTTAAACTGTTGCCTCCAAATTCAAAAGACCAACAAAAACGTTGTTTTGTTGTCAAATGATAATAATTTGAGGACCAAGTGTATTGTTACTCGTGTTCAGGCGTTTTGCAAAGATGATTTGTTGGCTTCTTTGGTGAAGATGTACAAGGATGTCGATGTTGGGGATGTTAGGGTTGTAAGGTCAGGGCAGGATCCGAGGAAGTACGAGTCGTCGGGGATTTCTAGGGCGCCTAATAAAATCGTTAGTGTTGATGGTGATGTTGAGAGGGTTAAGGAGAAAGTTGTGGTTGCTGTTCAAGCTTTCGTCACGTACAGGTAAATAAAAATAATAATAAATAATAATAATAATAATAATAATAATAATAATAATATATATATATATATATATATATATATATATATAATTCAACTATATTTCTATAATTCAAAAAAATCTTAAAAATTTCCTTAACAAACTTCAGGAAGATTTATCAAAATCCGAATAATCGTTTAGGAGGATTAACCTTTCATATACCATTACAGAAGAATTATATATATATATGAATTTTATATTTTATATATCTTATATATAAAATTCTTCTGTAATGATGTGTGAATTGATACTTCTCCTAAACGGTTATTCGGATTTTGATAAATCTTTCTGAAATTTGTTAAGGAAATTTTATAGTATTTTTTGAATTATAGAAATATAGTTAAATTGTAGAAATAAATGAAAAAAACCGCTTATAATTGTTTGATATTGCAAATATTTGAGGCATTGTTTGACATTAAAAACGAATGGAAACTGTCATCTCTTTTTTTAACTTTTTTTAATATTCAAATATTTTCAAAGTCAAACAATGATGAGCGGTTTTTTGTAATTTCTTCCATTTATTTCTACAATTTAACTATATTGCTATAATTCAAAAAATTCTTAAAAAATCCCTTAACAAATTTCAGAAAGATTTATCAAAATCCGAATAATCGTTTAGGAGGATTAACCTTTCATACACCATTACAGAAGAATTTTATATATGAGATATCTTATATATAAAATTCTTCTGTAATGATGTGTGAATTGATACTTCTCCTAAACGGTTATTCCGATTTTGATAAATCTTTCTGAAGTTTGTTAAGGGATTTTTAAGATATTTTTGAATTATAGAAAAATAGTTAGATTGTAGAAATAGAGGGAAAAAATTACAAAAAATCGCTTATCATTGATTGATATTGCAAATATTCGAGGCATTGTGTGACATTAAAAACAAATGAAGACTGTCATCTTCTTTTTTAACCTTTTTTAATATTCAAATATTTTCAAAGTTAAACAATGATAAGCGGTTTTTTGTATTTTTTTCCATTTATTTCTACAATTTAACTATATTGCTATAATTCCATAAATTCTTAAAAAATCCCTTAACAAACTTTAGAAAGATTTATCAAAATCCGAATAATCGTTTAGGAGGATTATTCTTTCATAGAAGAATTTTATATAATATATATATATATATATATATATATATATATATATCTTATATATAAAATTCTATGATGATGTATGAAAGGATACTCCTCCTAAACGATTATTCGGATTTTGATAAATCTTCCTGAAGTTTGTTAAGGAATTTTTTAAGAATTTTTTGATTTGTAGAAATATATTTAGTTAGATTGTAGAAACGAATGGAAAAAATTACAAAAACTGCTTATTACTGATTGACATTAAAAACAAATGAAGACTGTCATTTGACAAACATTTCAATTATTTAAATTTCTTGCACATCTCAGCTACTCTTTGGTCATAACAATGAAGACATTTTTTTGTATTTTATATTCTAATATTATCTAAGCTCATAATTTCAGTTAAATTCACATGAAGTGACATTTCTAGCAGAATGATATATGTTTTTTTGTATTTTTTTCCATTTATTTCTACAATATTACTATATTTTTATAATCATTCACATCCTAAAAAATCGCTTAACAAATTTCAGAAAGATTTATCAAAATCCGAATAATCGTTTAGGAGGATTAACCTTTCATACACCATTACAGAAAAATTTTATATATATATATATATATATATATATATATATAAAATTCTTCTATAATGATGTGTGAATTGATACTTCTCCTAAACGGTTATTCCGATTTTGATAAATCTTCCTGAAGTTTGTTAAGGAAATTTTCTAGGATTTTTTGAATTATAGAATTATAGTTATATTGTAGAAATAAATGGAAATAATTACAAAAAACCGCCTAAATGAAATTAAAAACAAATGAAAACTGTCATCTTCTTTTTTAACCTTTTTTAACTTTTAGTCATCAGCATAACTAATGCTGTTATTAGTTTGCTCGTCGGTAGAGTCACATTTCCCTAATGTTAGGTTTCTTGTCAGTAGAGTCCCTTTTTCGTTTTCATTTTTAGTTTGCTCGTCAGTAGAGTCCTTTTTTCCTTTATTTCATTTTGCTCGTCAGCAGAGTCCTTATCCTTAATTAATATTTATGTTTTGTTCAAGAAATTCTAAAAAAAAATCGAAACGAGTAACATGTTTGTAATCTTCTCTTGAAGCCCTTTTTAAGGATATATCACATGACAAAAGTCCTTCTGTATTTGCCTATAGGCGAGTTGCCATTGCTGTCTTCATCATTCTTAATTAGTTAGAATTTTCTACTCACCGAGCCCTTTACAACGATATGTCACATGCCAAAAGACTTTCTAGAATTGCCTATCGGCAAGTTGCCGTTGCTATCTCCATAATCTTTAATTAATATTTGTTTCTTTAGTTTTGTTCAAGAAATTCTAAAAAGCATAGAAACAAGTAACATATTTGTAATCCTCTCTTCGAGCCCTTTGCAACGATACGTCACATGCCAAAAATCCTTTTGGAATTGCCTATAGACAAGTTGCCGTTGCTGCCCGCATCACCCTTAATTAATTTTTGTTTTGTTAATTTTGTTCAAGAAATTCTAAAAAATATCGAAACGAGTAACATATTTGTAATCATCTCTTCGAGTCCTTTTCAACGATATGTCACATGCCAAAAGTTCTTCTGGAATTACCTATCGGCCAGTTGCCATTGCTGCCTACATCATCCTTAATTAATATTTATTTTGTAAATTTTGTTCAAGAAATTTTAAAAAGTATAGAAACAAGTAACATATTTGTAATCCTCTCTCCAAGCCCTTTTCAACGATAAGTCACATGCCAAATCTTCTACAATTGCCTATCGGCAAGTTGCCGTTGCTATTTCCATCATCTTTAATTAATATTTGTTTCGTTAGTTTTGTTCAAGAAATTTTAAAAGGTATCGAAACAAGTGACATATTTGTAATCCCCTCTTCGAGCCCTTTGCAACGATACGTCACATGTCAAAAGTCCTTTTGGAGTTGCCTATAGGCAAGTTACCGTTGATGTCTCCATTATCCTTAATTAATTTTTGTTTTGTTAATTTTGTTCAAGAAATTCTAAAAAGTATCGAATCGTGTAACATTTTTGTAATCCTTTCTTCGAGCCTTTTTCAACGATATGTCATATGTTAAAAAAATTTCTACATTTGCCTACTGGCAAGTTGCCTCTTGAATAGACTCGCCAATCAATTCCTATTTTTATATTTGAGTGTTTAATATTTATACTGCCCTTATAAACGAAATTTTGTTTTTTTATTAATGTAGAAAATAATATTGTGATTTGTGTTATGTAATATTTTTTTTTTGTGTTTTTTTCTACAGTTTATTCCTCGCGGATATGCAAAGGGCGAGAAATGAAGATAGGGTTGCCATAGACCCTAAAAGCCCTGCCCTGGAAGCTTTGCCCAAATTGACTGAACTTTTGAGGAAATTCTTGGAAGCAATTAAGAAGTAAGAGAAAAAAATTATTTTTATATATATAATAATATACTTTTGAAAGTACTCTAGTAGAATCTTTCTCTCCGACAATATTAAAAATCAATTGCCAAAAAAAAGAGTGCACGTAAGGTTCACACGCGATTGAAGTAAAACTTATTTGCCACTGTACGAGATGGCATTTCAGTTAAAAATAAATACATCATATAACAATTTTGAATAATGTTCATTATTAATATATGGTAACACTCGTGATGCACACATTTATTAGTGTCGACAATTATTTACTTTTATATAATGATAAATTATATATTTATGATAGCATTAAAAATATGTATGATATTAGGTTGTCAAATATCTCCCTTCCGCTTTTTTGCTCTTGGTTTATAATACAAAAAGGCGGAAGGGAGATATTTGACAACCTTATATTTTTAAAAACAATAATGTAATTAAAGTCACACTTCAAATATGACATGATCGGTTTGTCATTGTAATTAGATTCTAGAAATGAACCTTTATTAGAAAAATGAAGTAATTGATAATTAATAAATTCTATAATATCCATTTACACATATGTTAAACAACGCCTAAACAAATATTGTTTTTGCAACTTCACTCATCATGTAATTGTGTTTGAAGAACGTCATGTGATTAAATTAACATACATTCATTGACTGATGGTATTTTTTTACTTTTTTGCTGGCGATATAATGTCATTCTTTGAACAGCTGTAATATCTGTTTTGCATGAAAAATATTTTCCATTTTAATAACTTCAAAGATTTATATTAACTCGGAATAATATAGAAATAATTTCTAATCAATAAACTTACGTTAGTACACGGCACAAATGTTGAATTTTTATTTATTATTTTCAAGGAACAGAGTAAAATATTCTTCTGATTTAGGCATTTTTCATTAAATCAAGATTTGTACTGCGATGTAACGTTAAAATGTTTATTAATCTATGCCGATTTGCTTGTTGATATCGGTACACATACAACGTTGATGCCGGTACGCATACAACGACAGATCTCTATTCACATACACGACGACTAATCACAATCGACCCGTATAGAAATGGTATCATCGGGAGTGAATGACGTACAGTTTTGGCGTAACGCATTTTCGTTGCATATTCACAGATTTACACCCTAGTCGCGCCTAAAGAAGTTTTACTTCAAAAATTGACAGGCGCTTATAGAGATTCTACAGTACTTTCTTTGGAGTCAACTATATGACTCTTTCGATCAAATCTGGATCAAACATATATTTCTTTAACCTTTGAATGAAATCACATTGTTGAACTTAAAATATACAATTTACTTATTTACACTAAATAACTAATTACGAACAAACATTTCTCCAGTTTTTTATCGTTTCTTTTAAGCCAATTATCTATGTCTGACCTTTGACTAACATTTTGATAAACTATTTTACTAAATGAAAAGTGAATTAATATATGATATTTATGATTTTTAACTTCCCGTAGGGCAAGTTATAGTAATCGCAAAAAAATCGAAAATGAAAATTTTTGCATTTCTCGACGTTTCAAAGGTTTCCGAATATTTTGGCGTACCTTAGAAAAAATGGATGTGTGTGTGTGTGTGTGTGTGTGTGTGTGCGTGTGTGTTTGTGTGTGTGTGGGTGTGTATGTATGTATGTGCGGATACAAATTTTCGTCGACGATTTCGGGAACACCGATGAACCGATTTGAATAATTCAAAAAACATTCGATTCGTATTGATAAGGAGACGTGCTGATTAGTTTTTGGCGAAGTCAGGTCTAGCCATTCCGAAGATACGGGGCAAAAAGTGCCGAAAACGGTAACTCAGTTTTTAAGAGAACGGAGCATCCGATTTAAATAATTTAAAAAACATTTCACTTGTATTGACAAGATGAAGAACCGATCAAATTTTCATAAAGACAGGTCTAGCGGTTTCGGAGATCTAATGAAAAAAGTAAAAAACAATGCCATTTGGCGGTCAAAAGTGATCATTAGACATATGCACATCAAATTATCAGATATTTTATAGAGATTTTAACAATAAGTATAATTTTGGTTTACATTCCTAAGGGTTCCGTACCAATGTTTATGCGTTAGAGGTCGACGCGGCGCTTACGCGGTTTGATATTTCGTCTTTATGCAGTTAAAGTAGTACGATTGCTTTGAAAAAAAGTTTAGATCTTTCAAAATATGTCGAAATAAAGAAAACATTTTTTTTCAAAAAAAAAAATATAAAAAAAAAATAAATAAATTTTTTTTTTTTGATAAAAAGTAATTTTTTGTCTAATTGTTTGTCAAAAATCTTATTTTTTTTGAAGTAATTTTTTTTTTCAAAAATGTTAATCGTTTTTAAAAAAATAATAATTTTTGGTACGAGAAGTTTCAGCAATTTGCCACAAGGCACGATGCCTTAATTGCCTTAAGACAGAATTCCACTTACAGCTAGTTCTATTATTTTTTCAGTGTTACGTTAGAGCCCTTCTACTTCGTCACGTTGCCGAGTTTGAGAAATTTTGCAAATATAATTCAAATAATCCTGAAGGAGAACAATACGGCTTGCGAGGATATTGATATTGGCGTTCTGGGGAACTATTGCAGAACTGAAAGGTAGGAAAATTAGGCATAAATATAAATATATATATACATATATGTGAGTTAGTTTGTTCGTTCGTAGAATCCTTTTTTATTTATACTTTTATACCTTTTTTATATATACTCCCAAGAATAATTTTAGTTGCTTTTTTATAATTACCGCCTTATTTTTACCAACCCAAATTCACATATATTATTTTGCAAGTGTTCCGAAACAAACAAAATTACAACAGACCCGTGAAATAGGTCTACTGGGGCCTTCAAAGTGATATATCTTTAAAACAGTGGCTCTAAGCAAAAAAAGTATTCATTAATTTTTTGTAGATAATTTTATGCTTTACAATATTGTCTCAGGTAATTTTGCGATAAAACTGACCATTTAGCTAAAAATAGCAAAAGGGTAATTTTTTTTTACCTTTGACTTTGTGCCATTTTTTGTAGCTCGCATCGGATCGATGAGGACTTTTGAGATTTTTTTTATAATTAATTTTGCCAAATTACAGCCCATTATGATTTATAGTAACCTTCACCCTGATTTTAGGTTTAAATTGACCGATCTAAGAGCCCCATTTTAATTTTCTAGATCGAAGTCAAGTTTGCTCGTCAGTAGAGTTCCTTTTCTACTTATTTTTTGGATTTTTTGTTTGTAGATGTTTTTCTGTAAACTGATATTTTAATTCTGTTTTTATGAATTTGCTGATATTTCAATTTTTTTCTGAATTTTTTCGTCGGTAGAGTTCTTTTCATCATATTTTATGTAGCTTCATCCTCTTTCATTGCTAACGACTAAATACAGTTTGCTCGTCAGTAGAGTTCTTTACTTCAATAATAAATTTTTTTAATGTCTCAATAACAAAACATTGTGTATGTCCTAAGGCCTCAAATAATATTAACATATTAATTTATCGATAACTAATGGACTCTACTGACGAGCAAACTAAAAGTAATAGAAAAAGGGACTCTACTGACGAGCAAATTTGGAAAACTTTTAGAAATGAGACTCTACTGACCAATAAACTTAATTTCAAATTAATCAGAAGCCTTAAATATGAATAAATGGGACTCTACTGATGAGCAAAGTAGATTTTCATCTAGAAAATAAAGGGACTCTACTGACGAGCAAACTTTAATTTTAATTTTGCGAGACTAAACTGAAGACTCTACTGATAAGCAAATTGATTTTAAAACTATGAAATATAAAAACTCTACTGAGGAGCATACTTAATTTTTGATTTTGCAAGATTAAAAAAAGGACTCTATTGGAAAGCAAATTTATTTTAAAACTATAAAATATATAAAGTCTTCTGACGAGCAAACTTAATTTTGGTTTAGAAAATTGAAAGCGACTCTACTGACGAACAAATTAACTAGATATACTAAAAGATAAAAAGGGACTCTACTGACGTGCAAACTTGATATTGATGTAGAAGACAAATATAAATTAATTATAACAAATTAATTAGAAGCCTAAAATATGAATAAATGGAAAGCTACTGACGAACAAATTTGATTTTTGATTTGGAAATTAAAAATAGAACTCTACTGACGAGAAATTAATCAGAAGCCTTAAATATGAATAAATGGGACTCTACTGACGAGCTAACTTAATTTTGATTTTGAAAATTAAAAAGAAGGGACTCTACTGACGAACAAATTAACTGGATAGAAAATTAAAAAGGGACTCTACTGACAATCCTACTGAATACTGGCAAATCGGATTTTCTGGCAGAAACATATTTCTGAAAGTTTATATCATTTTTATTGTAGTTTGCTTTGAATCAGATTTTATTTTATTCATTTCACTTTGCTCATCAGTAGAGTTCTTCGCTTCGATCATAGAATTTCTTTTGTTTCAATATTAAAACATCGTGTATATCCTAAAACCTCAAATATTATTAACATATTAATTTATCGATAAGTAAGGGACTCTACTGACGAGCAAATTTGGAAAAAAATTAGAAATGAGACTCTACTGACGAGCAAAGTAGATTTTTATCTAGAAAATAGATGAACTCTGCTGACGAGCAAATTCAAAATAAAAGAAAAAAAAATCTACTACGTAAATGAAGACTCATGTTCTAAAAAACAATAATTGACAAGATTTTTTGTAAAAAATAAAAAGGACTCTACTGACGAGCAAACCTAATTTTGATTTTACGAACTTGAAAAGGGACCCTACTTGATATTGATGCAGAAAATTAATAAAAAGACTCTACTGACGAGCAAACTTAATATTTATATAAAAAATAAACAAACTCTACTGACAACTAACAAATCGGTTTTTCTAGCAAAAACAAAATTCTCCATCTGGAAATTAATTTCGTATTTTTGTGTTTCCTTGTCAGTAGAGTTCTCTTTTTTATACTGTAATTGCTTTTATCTCTTAATAATAAAATACCGTGAAGGGTGTCCTAAGGGCTCACTCGCAAAATAAAATACATATTTATTTCTTACTAATTGTTTACACTTATAAATCTTAACAGAAGGGACTCTACTGACGAGCAAACTAAAAATAAAAGAAATAAAAACTCTACTTATAAATTATAAATTAAATATAAATTAAATATAAATTTAATATAAATTAAAAAATTTTTTTTACCAAGTTTCATTTTTTTGCAGGAAACAAATCCTGGACATCGAACAACGCCTGACGTCCGTAATGTCGACATTGCAGACAGCACGAGCGATGTTATTGTTAACATAAGTATTCTTATTATTTATTTTATTCTCGTACCATCACAGAATTTATATCTATTTATTTACTATTTATTTTTCTATTAAGATCTATTATTTATTTTGTTATTTATTCTTTAATTTATCTATTATCTAATCTATTAATCGATAAATTGTGATAAGACACGCGGGTGCCTTCTAATTAATTATGTAATTAATTAATTAATTATTATCGATGGCTGTGAATTTTTATATTTAGTCACAAAGTGAAAAAATAAGTTTTTGATACGTAATATATATACATATATATTTGTTATAGTATGTAGTCGTTTGTATAGTATTTTTTTGATATTGTAAAAATATTTGATATTTTTATATGCGAATAAAATTGTACGTATTTTCTTGATGAAAAGTGGTAAGTTTTATTTATAGTATTAATTTAATATATATATATATATATATATACACATGTAATATTTTTTTCAGATAGTGAAAGATATGTGTTACAATTTTTTCAGGCATCTTTTCTTTATATATAAATTGTTGTCCTAATTAAGCTCTGAAGATGAAAGTCAGTAGAGTTTTTTCTCCAAACTTAGTTTAATCGTGTTTTCTAAATTTGCTCGTCAGTAGAGTCCCTTTGTATCTTCCAGTCTTTCTAATCAATTCTAATAAATTTACTTATCTATAGAGTCTATAGTATAATTGTATAGAGTCCCTTTTTTAGTCTCAAAATCAAACTAGTGGGGTGGGTGGGATCGTGCTCAAAAACTCGATCTATTTTCTGCACTCTTTGCTCCGTATCTACGTAACGGCTGGACCTGCCTTTGCCAAAAACTAATCAGCACATCTCCCTTTCAATAGGAATCGAATGTTATTTGAACCATTCAAATCGGTTGATCCGTGCGCCCGAAAACGTGACTGGAAATTTGTATCCACATATACATACACACACACACATCCATTTAGTTTCTGAGGTATGCCCTTTAAAAATGTTCAGAAACCTTCAAAACGTCGAGAAATGTAAAAATTTTCAATTCCGATTTTTGGCCCATTACAATAACTTACCCTACGGGAAGTTAAAAATGTTTGCTCGTCAGTAGAGTCCTCTTTATATATCATTGTTTTCAAATCAATTTGATCGTAGGGAAGATTTTATTTATTTCTGAGTTTTGTCGTAAGTAGTCCCTTTTTTAAATTGATATTTCATTCTTTTTTTCTAAATTTGCTTTATAGTAGAGTCTCTTTCTCAAACTCAAACTGATAATATTAATCTAGTTTTCTGGTTTCGCTCGTCAGTAGAGTTCCTTTTCTGAATTTGGTCGTCAGTCAGTAGAGTCCCTTTTCTAAACTCATATTTTAATCTTTTTTTTGTAAATTTGGCTCGTCAGTAGAGTCCTTTTTCTAAACTGATATTTTGATTTTTTTTCTAAATTTGCTCGTCAGCAGAGTCCCTTTCCTAAAGATAATATTTTTCACAAACATTCTACTGACGAGCAAATTAAAAATAAAATAAAATAAAAAGAACTCCACGGACGATTTTGAAAGGAAAAAGGAACTCTACTGACGAGCGACCTAAATTAAGACTCTAGAAATAAACGAGCAACCTTTTTCTTTTTAATATAATTTTCAGCCAAATTTTTCTAAATTTGCTGGCCAGTAGGTCCTTTTTTCTCAAGTCTATATTAATAAAATAATAAAGAAAATCTACTTACGAGCAAACCAAAATCAAAGAAAAAAGGGACTATACTAACTAATCTGAGTTTTAACTTTATTGACACAAAGAACTCTACTGACAACCAAATTGAAATAAAATTAAAGGGACTCTACTGACAAGCGAATTAAAATTAAAAAAGGGACTCTACTGACGATCGAACTGAAATAATAGAAAAAAGGTCTCTTGAGACGTACAAACTCGAGTAAAAAGAAAAAGCGAACTCTACTGACAAGCCATGAAGAGACCTTTGTTCATCATCCAAAACTATATTCAATTTGCTCGTCAGTAGAGTCCCTCTACTAATCTATCAAATTGATTGTCAGTTTGCTTGTAAGTGGTGTTTTTTTTAGATATTGATGGGGAAATTCTGGCGTAACAAAGCTCATAAAATAGCGTTGTCATGGCAACGCTCTCTTATGCTTGTTCTTGGTATTGAAAATTATGAAAATGTCTATCCATTTGCCGTTCGTTTAGGCGTATTTTACATATAAACATGCAAGGAAGAATGTTACGATAACAGAATCTTCAAACATTCTCCCTGACGTGCCAGACCGCACGGCAAATAGATACATTTTCATAGTTTTTACTACCAAGTTATTAACTTCCCGTAGGGCAAGTTATAGTAATCGCAAAAAAATCGAAAATGAAAATTTTTGCATTTCTCGACGTTTCAAAGGTTTATGAATATTTTGGCATACCTTAGAAAAAATGGATGTATGTGTGTGTGTGTGTGCGTGTGTGTATGTATGTGCGGATACAAACTTTCGTCGACGATTTCGGGAACACGGATCAACCGATTTGAATAATTCAAAAAGCATTCGATTCGTATTGATAAGGAGACGTGCTGATTAGTTTTTGGCGAAGGCAGGTCCAGCCGTTCCAAAGATACGGGGCAAAAAGTGCCGAAAAAGGTAACTCAGTTTTTAAGAGAACGAAGCATCCGATCTTAATAATTTAAATAAAAAACATTTGACTTGTATTGACAAGATGAAGAATTGATCAAATTTTCATGAGGGCAGGTCTAGCGGCTTCGGAGATCTAACGAAACAAGTAAAAAAAAATTCCATTTGGCGGTCAAAAATGATCATTAGACATATGCACATCAAATTATCAGATATTTTATAGAGATTTTAACAATAAGTATAAATTTTGTTTGCATTCCTATGGGTTCCGTATCAATGTTTATTCGTTAGACGGCGACGCGGCGCTTACGGGCTTTATATTTTGTCTCTATGCAGTTAAAGCAGTACTGCAGATTGCTTTGAAAAAAAGTTCAGATCTTCCCAAATATGCCAAAATAAAGAAAACATTATTTTTTCCAAAAAAAAAAAAAAAAAAGTAATTTTTTGTCCAATTTATAGTTTCTCAAAAATCTTATTTGTTCGAAGTAATTTTTTTTTTAAAAATGTCAATCGTTTTTAAAAAAATAATAATTTTTGGTACGGGAAGTTTCAGCAATTTGTCTTAAGGCACGATGCCTTAATTGCCTTAAGACAGAATTCCACTTACAGCTAGTTAGTATTTTGGTTGTTAGAGGAAACTACATGTCTATATATTTATATCTTATATATTTATATAAATGATGTTATAATGTACAATTAATGATATTCATAAACAAAATTACATGAAGTTCCATCTTTTGAAATAAGGATCATCAGTCAAGATTTAACTGCACGGTAAGCAGTTATGCTGTTTCCTTTTGATTTAATATTGTTTCAAAAATTGTTATCCTTTATCCTTTATCGTTTCAATCGTTCCTCTCATACAATTTCTGAAAGGGCAGCCTCTCGGTCGGCTGCAGCCAATTGTCCTTACTGTAATCAACTCCGTCTTGGGCGTCAAGTACATGAAATGTATAGGCGTGGCGGCTTCGTGTCGATCTATTCGGTTTACTGTCGTGGACGACGAGGCCGTGGATGACGATACAGGTACCTAGAAGATAATTGATAGAAGGTTAAACAAACATTACTGGCTGTGAAAAGTGGCATTGCAAATTAAAAATAAAAGAGGAAAGATGAAAGGGACCTTACTGATGAGGAAATTAAAATAAATGGGAAATGTGGACTCTACTGATGAGCAAACTAAAAACAAAATAAAGTTGGTCTCTTCGCAGAAAAAAAGAGACTACTGAGAAGTAAACTAATCATAAAGGAAAAAGGGGACTCTACTGATGAGCAAAGTAAAATATATCGGAAAAGGAGACTCTGCTGATGAGCAAACTAAAAATTGTAGGAAAAGGGACTCTACTGACGAGCAAATTAAATTAAATCGGAAAAGCAGACTCTACTGGCAATCAAGCTAAAACAAAAGAAGAAAGCGACTAAAATCAGAAAAGGACTTTATTGGCGATAAGGAAAAAGGACTCTATTGATGAGCAAGTTAAAAATAAATGAAAAAAGAACTTTACTGACGAGCAAATTAAAATAATGAGAAGCCAAATCAAAATAGAAAAAAAAGGAACTTTACTGATGAGCAAACAAAAAATAAAGGGAAAATAGACTCTACTGACAAACAAAAGTAAAAGATGGGGCTCATTGAAAAAATAGGAAAGAGACTCTACTGACGAGCTAAACTGAAAAAATTGAATTCGAGAACCTCAATAAAAGGAACTTTTACTTTTGACGAGCAAAACTAAAACAATATAAATAAGAACCTAACCGACAAACCAAGTATATGTTATTATTAGAATCAAAAGAAACTCTACTGATGAAGAACAGTAAAAAAAGGGACTTTACTGACGAGCAAACTAGAAATAAAAAGAAAAGGGACTCTAATAACAAGCAAACTGAAATTACAGAGTGAAGGGACTCTACTGACAAGCAAACTGAATTTATAGAGAAAAAGAATTTTACTGACAAGGAAAACTAATAATAGAGGGAAAAGGGACTCTACTGACAAGAAAATTCAAATAAAATCGGTAACGGGATTCTACTGACGAGCAAACTAAAAATAAAATGAAATGGGACTCTACTGACGAGCAAACTAAAAATTTAAGAAAAGGGGTTTCTACGAACGAACAAACTAAAAATGAAACAAAAAGGGACTCTACTGACGAGCAAATTAAATCATAAGAAAGTTGGTCTCTTCGCAGAGAAAAGAGACTCTACTGAGAAGGAAACTAATCATAAAGGGAAAAAGGGACTCTACTGACGAGCGAACACAAGCAAAATTGAAAAAGGGACTCTATTGAATTAAAATAAAAATATAGGGTAAAGAGACTCTATTGACGAGCAAACTAAACATTTCAGGAAAAGGAACTTTACTAACGAGCAAACTAAAAATAAAAGTAAAAGGATCTACTGACCAGCAAACTAGAAATAAAAAGAAAAATAATGACTAAAATCACAAAAATACTTTACTGACGAAAAGGCAAAAGAACTCTACTGACTAGCGAATTAAAGATGAAACTAAAAGGGACTCTACTGACGAACAAACTAATTTTATAAGCAGAACGAATTCTACTGACGAGCAAACTAAAATAAATCTGAAAAGGGACTCTACTGACGAGCGAACTAAGTTATAAAACGAAAAAAGGATTCTACTGACGAGCAAATTAAAAATAAAAGGGAAAAGGGACTCTATTGACGAGCAAACTAAAAATGAAAAATAAAAGATAAAAGGAATTCTACTAACGAGCAAATTAAAAATGAAACGAAAAAGGAACTTTACTTATGAGCAAATTAAAAATTACATTTAAAAGGACTCTACTGATGAGGATACTCAAAATTGAATAGATAAGACTCTACTGACAGGCAAACTATAAATAAAAGTGGAAAAGGGACTCTACTGAAGAGCAAACTAAAAATACACAAAAAAATGGACTATACAGAGAGCAAACTAAAAATATAAGGAAAAGAGACTCTACTGACGAGAAAACTGAAATTATAGGGTAAAGAAGCTCTACTGACTAAAACTAGAAGAAAAGGGACTCTACTGACGAGCAAACTAAAACTAAAGCAAAAAGAATTCAACTGACGTGCAAACTGTGAACTTAAGTAAAACGACTCTATTGACTAGCAAACTAAAACTAAAGCAAAAAGAATTCAACTGACGTGCAAACTGTGAACTTAAGTAAAACGACTCTATTGACTAGCAAACTAAAACTAAGGGAAAAGAATTCTACTGACGCGCAAACTGCAAATTTGTGGAAAAGAGACTTCACATATGAACAAAATGAATTGATTGGGGTAAGTGACTCTACTGATCTAAACTGAGAAAACTAAAAATTCTAAAGTTTCAGGCTAATTCTGCATCTAGATTTATATTATAACTACGTTGTGCTAATAGAATTTAACCACTAATTAATTTTAATGCTAAGTTTCGTTCCGAGAGAGTCTCGTTTGAGTTTGATTGTGGTTAATGCATTTATGAATAAAGAAGCTTTATGAACCATGTGACTGTTACAAATCATCTCCATAAAAATTGCTTTGGCAGACAATATCCTTCATAAATTATCATTGTCGATGACATATTAAAAGTGAGTATCTATTCCCTTACCTTTCTTTACTGGACACTCCACAAAATTATTAGCAGGATACAAAGGCGCCGGCCTATCGTACTCCAACACCACATCATCACCATTTTTCGTCCTTTTGTACCTTCTGTGAACCCCACTTTTGTGTGAGCCCTTTGCAAATCGCAAACAACCCGTTTCTGGAGTTGCGTCTTCTAGGGCTATCCAAATTCCGACGAGGGCTGAAGGGGGCTCGGCTTTGAGGAAAGTTGCATCTTGATGGGCCACCACTGGAAAAAGTAATAATAAATAGAAATAGAAAAGGGATTGTTATTAGTTTGAAGTGAAACTTCTTTAGACAAGGTAAATATAAATATATGATTTTTAACTTCCCATAGGGTAAGTTATAGTAATCGCAAAAAAATCGAAAATGAAAATTTTTATATATCTTTACGTTTCAGAGGTTTCTGAACATTTTGGCATACCTTAGAAAAAATGGATGTATGTGTGTGTGTGTGTGTGTGTGTGTGTATGTATGTGTGTGTATGTATGTGCGGATACAAATTTTCGTCGACGATTTCGGGAACACGGATCAACCGATTTGAATAATTTAAAAAAAAATCGATTCGTATTGATGAGGAGACGTGCTGATTAGTTTTTGGCAAAGGCAGGTCTAGCCGTTCCGAAGATACGTGGCAAAAAGTGCCGAAAACGGTAACTCAGTTTTTAAGAGAACGGAGCGTCCGATTTTAATAATTCAAAAAACATTTTACTTGTATTGACAAGGTGAAGAATTGATCAAATTTTCATGAAGGCAGATCTAGCGGTTTCGGAGATCTAACGAAAAAAGTAAAAAAAAATGCCATTTTGCGGTCAAAAATGATCATTAGACATATGCACATCAAATTATCAGATATTTTATAGAGATTTTAACAATAAGTATGAATTTTGTTTACATTCCTATGGGTTCCGTACCAATGTTTATCCGTTAGACAGCGACGCGGCGCTTACGCGCTTTATATTTTGTTTCTATGCAGTTGCGACAGTACAATTGCTTTGAAAAAAAGTTCAGATCTTCCAAAATATGTCAAAATAAAGAAAACATTTTTTTTTTCAAAAAAAAAAAAAAAAATTTTTTTAAATTTTTTTCAGAATTTTTTTTTTTAAAAAATTTTTTTTTTCAAGAAAAAGTAATTCTTTGTCCAATTTATAGTTTCTCAAAAATCTTATTTTTGCAAAGTAAAATTTTTTCAAAAATGTTAAGCGTTTTTAAAAAAATAATAATTTTTGGTACGGGAAGTTCGAGCAATTTGCCTTAAGGCACGATGCCCTAATTGCATTAAGACAGAATTCCACTTACAGCTAGTTTTGTTTAATTTATGATTGTATACCTAGTAGACACGCCGCTGGATGTGGCTACTATCTTCTTGTTTATATTATATGAAAATTATTGTTAGCAATCTGTGCTTAATGTAAAACAGATTGCAGAATAAATTAAATAAAAAAAATTGATTGTGATGATTTTTTTTTTAAATTTTGAAGTAAAACTTCTAAGGCGACTACTTTTATTTATTTAAATCAATAATAATAGATATTATTTCAGGCTCTTGTCAAGCTTATTTATTCATAGTTAATATTAAAATGATAGTAATTTTATAATAATGCTACTGACAAAATTGCGTTTAAGGATAGACAATAGAAAGAGGTAAATATAAATACATATATGATTTTATTATTATTGTTTTACTATGACTTTATTATTATTTAATTTGATTGTTAATAGTTCTTTTTTAGTTTGAAGTGCAACTTCTAAGGCGACTTCCGACAAGATTTTGCGTTTAAGGCTGGATAACTGGAGAAGGTAAATATATGATTTTATTATTATTATTATTATGCTAGAACTTTATTATTATTTAATTTGGTTATTAATATTTTTTTCTGTTCTTTAGGTGAAACTTCATAGGCGACTTCCCACAAGGTTTTGCGTTTAAGGCTACAAAATAGGAAAAGGTAATTTTAATACATATATGATTTCATTATTATTATTATTTTGCTTGGAATTTATTATTATTTAATTTGATTGTTAATAGTTTTTTTCCTTTTTTTAAGTGAAACTTCTAAGGCGACTTCCGACAAGATTGTTGCTTTTAAAGCTACACAATGAGAAAAGGTAAATATGAATTTGTTATTCTATTATTGTTATTTTGCTTTGGATTTATGGGGCAATTCATTGTTTTTTATTTGCTCGTTAGTAGAGTCCCGTTTCCAATTTATTTTCACTTTGTTCGTTAGTAGAGTCTCTTTTGCTTTTATTTTTAGTTAACTCGTCAGTAGAGACCCATTTCTTAAATTTTTAGTTTGGTCGTTAGTAGAGTCCCTTTTCTCAATATTTTTAATTTTTTCGTCAGTTTAATTCGTTTTTATTTTATTTTTAAATTGTTCGTCAGTAGAGTCCCTTTTCTCTATATTTTTAGTTTGCTGGTCAGTAGAATTGTTTTTTTTATATTTTTAGTTTGCTCATTAGAAGAGTCCCTTTTACTTTTAATTTGCTCATCAGTAGAGCCTCCTTACTCTATATTTTTAATTTTCTCGTCAGTAGAGTTCGTTTTTTTTAGTTTGCTCGTCAGTAGAATCTCTTTTTTTAATTTTTAGTTCGCTCGTCAGTAGAGTCCTTTTTCTCTACAATTTCAGTTTTCTCTTCAGTAGAGTCCCCTCTTCTTTTGTTTTTAGTAAAAAAACTCTACTGACGAGCAAATTAAAGTGAAACTTCTTAGGCGATTTTGGACACAATTGTGCTTAAGGATTTGGGAAAAGGTAAATATAAATTTATGATTGCTGTATTTAATTCTGGGTTGTGATGAGTTTTTTTTTTTATTTTGAAGTGAAACTTCTAAGGCGACTTTCGACAAGATTGCGCGTTTAAGGCTGGATAATTGGAAAAGAAAAATATACATACATATATGATTTTATTATTATTATTTTGCTTTGACTTTATTATTATTTAATTTTGTTGCTAATAATTTTGTTTTTCTTTTTTTTTTAAGTGAAACTTCTATGGCGACTTCCGACAAGATTTTGCGTTTAAGAATAGATAACTGGGAAAGGTGAATATGAATATATGATTTTATTATTATTATTGTTTTACTATAACTTTATTATTATTAAATTAAGTTATTAATAGTTCTTTTTTTTTAAGTGAAACTTCTAAGGCGACTTTCTACACGATTGCGTTTGAGGCTAGACAATGAGAAAAGGTAAATTAGGGTATGCCAACTAACATTTTACATTTTCATTATTTTTTCAACAGTCAACCGAGGCTTTTTTTCATTTTTGAATGAAATTATTATAATCATTATTAACTTAATTAATTTCATTATTAACTGAAAGGATTGTACTTTCAAATAAAAAAAGAAACTGGTGGAAATATTCAGTAGTTTTTTTAAAAAAAAGTTATTGGGCGGACCCTATATAAATTTATGATTTTATTATTCAATTTAGTAATGGATGAAAATGAATTGTAAAAGTGACTCTACTGACTGGAAAGAAAGGGGCAGAACGACGTATAAAGATTTTTTAGATTGTCTAAATATTTTGTAAGTTGTCTGAAAATGTTATATAAAGTAATTATTGTCATATAAAATTTTGATATTTTAATTATCAAATTCGAAGTTTATTTTGCTCGTCAGTAGAGTTCATTTTTTGTTGTATTAATAATATCATTATAATTTTAGTTTGCTCGTCAGTAGATTTCCTTTTCGTTTTATTTTTAGTTTGCTCGTCAGTAGAGTTTTTTCTTCTTATTTTTAGTTTGCTCGCCAGTAGAGTTCCTTTTTTCTATATTTCTAGTTTGATCGTCAGTAGAGTCCCTTTTCTCTATATTTCTAGTTTGATCGTCAGTAGAGTTCCTTTCATTTTTAGTTTGTTCGTCAATAGAGTTCGTTTTTTTATTTCTAGTTCGCTCGTCAGTAGAATCCCCTCTTTTGTTTTTAGTAAAAAATGATAAAAAACTCTACTGACGAGCAAATTAAAAAAATAAAATAAAAAGGACTTTACTGACAAACAAATTAAAAAAAAATGTAACAATAATTAAGTAAAAATAGTAAAATGAACTCTACTACGATCAAATAACATTAATGTAGAAAGAACTCTACTGACGACGAAATTAAGAAAAATAGTGTAGCATAAACTCTTATGAGGAACATATATAAAAACAATTTAAAAAGAACTCTACTGACGAACTAATTTAGAAAAAGGTAATGAAAGGGACTCTACTGACGAGCGTACTCTACTGTATAAAAAAAATGATAAAAAGGTAAAAGAACTCTACTGACAAGCAACTTAATAAAAGGATTCTCTATGAAAATGAAACTCTTTAATAAAGTCTATTCAATTTACAGCATTAGGAATTTCTTCTTGTATTTATTATCATTAATTACTTTCCATAGGGCAAGTCAAAGTAGGTAATCGCAAAAATAACAAAAATTACAATTTTTTTGAATATCTTTTTGGCATGTCTTATAAAATTGACATATGTATGTGTGTATGTGCGGATACAATTTTTAATTTTTTTAATTTACCTTCGCTTCCTATTCCAGGATTTTTATAAATGTACATGCTCTGGACGACGGCCGGTGCCTTGAATCCGAGTTGCCAAAATAGTTCTCTAATTTTGTTCGAATAGGTGTGTTTGTTGAAAGTCGGATGGAACCAGTGCAGGGCATGGCCGACCTGGATATAGATAAAAGATAAGTAGATAGAGACATTTTTCAAATTTATAAAACTAAAAAAACTAACTTTATGCAAACAACTCCCAAACACACGTTTCAATAACCCAAGAGTCAGTCGTGACCCATGGTAAGAACCTACCTAAGACAGCTTGATATCAAGCAGTAGTAGTATCAGATATTATACTCGACTTAAATAACGACACAAAAAATGGCATTCTAAACCTTGCAACGTGTTCAATGGGTTCCAGTACTATAAATAGTACAGATGGTCAAATATGAGTTAAGAAGTTTTACTTCAGATATGTCATGTGGGGTATCAAATGAAAGGTCTCAACAAGGACTATACGAATATCGTTAAAAAATCTATATAATAATTTATGAGTCATTCATAAGCTTACCGATTTGTGGTAGGGTTTTATGAGATTTGACAATATTGTAGGTTATTTAATTTTGAACAAATTTGTCGAATGTTTTATCGCAATCGCACGAACGGTTCAAAAGTTACAAGAGATATAATAAAGGTAGACCAATGGGTTGCTGAACAATGGGCTAAGACGTTGTTAAGTTACATGTGGCATGTGGGGTATCAAATGAAACGTCTCAACCAGCACAATCTAAATATGATAATAAAAATTTCAGTAAAGCAATAAGGTTCCGTACAAATTAATTATTTAGATTTTAATATCTATTTTTGCCACTTAAAATATACTCAGTTGCTGAAAAATATTATTTTATTATTAGATATCATAGACAACTTAATTTAGCACCAATTTGCCGAATATTCCATTTATTTGCGACGAACGGTTCAAAAGTTACAAGAGATATAATAAAAGGTAGACCAATGGGTTGCAGAAGTGGATAAAGACGTTGTCACACCAAATATAGGCATGTGGGGTATCAAATAAAAGGTCTCCACCAGCACAATCTAAATATGATAATAAAAATTTCAGTAAAGAAATAAGATTCCGTACAAATTAATTATTTAGATATCAACATCTATTTTTGCTACTTGAAGTATACCCAGTTGCTGTAGAGTGTTATTTTATTATTAGATATCATAGATAATTTAATTTAACACACATTTACCAAATATTTCATTTATTTCCGACTAACGCTTCAAAAGTTACAAGAGATGTAACAAAAGTGGACCAATGGGTTGCAGAACTATAAACAGTACAGCGGGTAAAGTTATTATGACGTCACATATGTCGTGTGAGGTATCAAATGAAAAGTCTCGACGAGCACTATACGAATATAAATTTATAAAATTTGCAAATCTAATTTTTTGGCTGAAACATAAACTGCTCTTTTGGAAAATTAATACAATGAAGGAATTGTTCAGGAATTGTTGGATGCTGTATTTAGTGTCAGTGTTTTTTTTTTAATTTTGCTTTGAATTAGATAATATTTATTTTGTACATTTTTTATGTGAATTTAAATTTAATATACAAATAATTAAAAAAGCATTTGCTGCTAAATTATAATAATTGAAGTTAAAATATTTATCTTCACATTAAGATGAAATTGCAAAGAAAGATAAAAATCACGAAGTGAAAATAGTTTATTATTAATTTATTTACTAAAAAATTATTCTTTGTTACTTATAGAAATAAAACGTTCAATTTTATTATTTGTTGAACGACTTCATCTTATTCTAGCATTAATTTTTATAATATGTATATTAATTTATTCAGAGCATAGTCGTAATATTCAATATATATAATGAATTTTACCTTATTTAAAGATTTCGATTGATCCACAATTAAGTTTCCATCTTTGTCCAGTGCATCTTCTTCGAAAAAGTATCGGATTTGATCACCACTTTCTATGAAGTACTTGTCTTTACTCTGAAAATAATAATAATAAATATAGGGTGGTTTTTAATATGGACATTTTCAAATTTCTTTGCCACCAAGGGCTCAAACGCTTCCAAATTGATATAAAAAATTCTTCTAAAAGTTTCAGCTCTTAATATTAACATTTAGATAGTCCGCAATTGAATTAAAAAATGTTACGACTTTTAATTGGATTGCGGACTATCCAAATGTTAATATTAAGAGATAAAACATTCAGAAAATTTTCTTTTATTAATTTGGAAGCGTTTGAGCTTTTGGGAACAAAAGTTCGATAATGTCCATATTAATAACCGCCCTAATATATATATATATATATATATATATATATATATATATATATATCTTATATATAAAATTCTTCTGTAACAATGTAAGTTTCATATTTCCTCCTAAACTATAATTCGGATTTTCATGAATCTTCCTGAAGTTTGTTCGGGAAATTTTTTAGAATGTTTTGATTCATAGAAATATAGTTAAATTGTAGAAATAAATAGAAAAAATTACAAAAAACCGCTTATCATTGTTTGCCCTTGAAAATATTTGAAGCTTAGTTTGACATTAAAAACAATTGAGGACTGTCATTTGCCAAACATTTCTATTCACTTATAGGCTAAGGCAATATTAGAATATAATAAATTCATAATTATGAATAAGGAAAATGTAATGTCTACATTATTAATGCCGAAAAGCAGCTGAGATGTGCCAAAAATCAAATTAATATAAGATGCAAATAATATAACATGCATTTGACAAGTGATGCAGTCTGCGCATGCGTCTGACGTGCGCGTGGTTTGCTTTTGCTTGCAATAATTTTGTTTGCGCACTTTGCGAACAGATTCGCCGTACGAATTCGCGCAAAGAAGCGAGCCATAAGTGATTGCGCTCAAACATATTCAATTTGCAGTCGTTTTGCCTTACTATACTAAGTCGCAATACAAAAAAAATTATTTAGAAGTTTCATTGTGTCAAAAATTCATATGTTTGTCATTGGGTACGGAATATTTACTCAATGGAGCGCTTTGGGTCTGAACTTTTTACTATTTTCCAATTCGTTTGGAATTTTGGAACTAGGTTCACCTTACTCTTCAGAAGTGAAAACAATTTAGACTCCTTTACCACTTCTCGGGTGGATGACATTTCTTTTCAGTGGTGTAATTTTACTTTTTTCAAAATAACGTTGGGTATCGATAAAAGAACTAATTATACGAGAAAAATATTTAATAATGTTTTTCAAAAAAGGAAATACTTTTCAAGTTACTGGCTACTGAATATTTGTTTCTTTTTTGCGTTTTTCATCATTTGTTTGCTAACACCTTCAAAAATATACATTTTAACGAAAATCATGTAATGAACAGAATTATATCAATTAAAATCTTAATAAAACGTTATTTTATAGTGTTTTAGGAACATTATTAGGCTAGATATGAAAATGGGTTTTTATAGTGCTCAAAATAAGCTTTAAAATGAGTACTTCTGCGTGTAAAATGAGTGAGCTATCATGCAGATAAAGGACGCATGCAATGTTTTTTTTTTTCATTTAAATCAAATACTTTGAGTGCCATATCCACCAAAATTAAAAATAATCGTATTCAATCTAGAATTAACTTGGTTTAAGAGATCTTGATGGATTCTAGAAAATACCACAACTTTAGTACAAATGATTCTTAAAAAACTCATGATTTCATGAAAAAAAAAACATTTTAAAAAAACAACCAATTTCTCATCATAATACCTCTGAAAGAATACGTATAAAAGTATATATATAAGAAAATTCGAGGTATTTTTCTGACTAATTATTATTGTTTATTATTTTTTCGTTACACAAATATTGATAGATGTATGATTAATTAAGGAGCTGTCCAACCAGAGATCTTTCGAGCCCTTTAACCCTTCGCCGTTTTACAATAAGAGAAGTTACGGTAAAATTAATGATAGAGAAAGTTGTAGCTCATTTAATCACCTTTAAAATAGTGTATTACAAGTTCTGATAAAATCAGAATTAAAAGAGTAATAATCCAATTAATGCTGTGGATGGTGACGGAGTGCAAATTGTTAAAAACATTGAAATTAAGATAAAGATTAGCCTATTTCCAAAATATCAAGTAAATTGGAGCACAGTAAAAAAAATTTACAGAGCAATAATTTTGTTGATCGTAAGTTGGATAGAGCACATGTGAACAGGATTTGACAAATTAATTCACTTCAAATATAAACTTAAGCAATAATGTATATTGATTTATTAGAGAAAAAAATGCAATTTAGATATTAAAATTAGCCAGTTAAAATATGGTACAAAATTATAAAAATTATAGGCAACATTATTGAAGCAATTATTTGGGTGAGAAAAATAAAAGGTGATATTGCACCTTTGCCGCGAATGCTATATATTAATTCTTTCTGAATTTGTTGTACTTTTTAAAAGATTTCAATTTTCAACATGAGTATCTTATGCTATGACCATAAATCAAAAAAGCAGACGATCATTTTTAGTGTGATAAATTTGGAAAATCAATGTTTTAGTCGTGAATAAACAAAAAATCATTCATTTATACATCCACATCTACAGGTATGGCTAAAAATACTATATAACCCTTAAATGCAATAAAATAAATTGAGCTATTGGAAATAAATTTGTTCTATAAATCGCAGTGTATAATTTTTAATATACAATTTTATTGAACATTTTTTAATATTTGTTAAATAAATAATTAAAGTGTTAACTGTGGGAATTGAGAACAATCATTTTATTTGAAACAGTTCTACATTCAACATCACTTATATATTGGTGTAAATAGTAATTCAAAAAACAGTAATTATTATTTTTAACTAAGCAGTAAATATTAGTATAAAATATTGAAAAATTGTAGACGTAGGTACAGAACAACGTCTGTCGGGTCAGCTAGTATATATATATATATATATATATATATAATTAAATTTATTACTATTTACCTGTTTATCTTTATGGTTTATAGTGCTGAAAACAGATCGACAGTCTTCGGGAATATTTTTGGTCAAATCGTCTCCGGCATTTTTCATTTCTTCGACTTCTTGTGCGGTGAAGAAGTCTTCTAGCACTACGTAGCCATCGGTTTCCAACTAAAAATTAAATATAATTAAAATATTTATTGTTAAAAAAAATAAATATCGCAGCAACCGTAATTTTCTAATTAAGTCATTGTTGGGGGATAGAGCACTTTAATTAATGGTTTCATTTTTATATGTTTTTTGGTATTAAAGTTGGTTTTAATTTGTTAATTATAATATTTTGTGCTAAAATTTCATTTGTTATTGTCGACGGTTAAATAATTACTCTGGTACTTTAGTACCAGCTGAATTACTATAAAGGCGAATTTGCAATCATTTTGATACTTTATACATCACTTATTGGATGTTTATTATTGATTGTTACATATATATATTAAATTTGTGTGTCAAACCTTTACATTTCAAATTTTCAAATTATCCTTGTGTGTAATCCCCTTACACAACTTCACATATGTGTCTCTACCGCACAAACTTCACACTATGGGTATTTTGTAGAGACTTTTGAAAAGACAAAATTTAGCAGGAAATACGAATGCTTCTTTTTAGTGTTCGAGATACATATTTCCAAATTAATAAACCGAAAATGCAAAGGACAAATTATATTAGGGAATAATTAAATATAAATTTACTATGCATAAATATTTTTAAAGCCGTTATTGTTCATTTAATTAGGTTAGGTTTTCAGGCTTTAGAACAAATGGATGTATGTAGTATGCATGTTCGGATACAAATTTTCGTTCACGATTTCGAGAGCACGGATCAACTTATTTGAATGATCATATAGGAACAGGAAACATTTGATTCCTATTTCATTTTTATTTTATTTACAGTTTGTTTAATCGGTAAAATAATATACTTATAATAATATGATGGTTTAGTGTAATAATAATAAACGTAAATTATTATTATAACACTAAACCACTTGATTAGAAGCTAGTTAGCACTCCAACCAAAGTTTCTTATGAAAATAAAAAGGATTATATTCCATTTGTTTCTTTGTAATATATAACTTAGAGACAAGTGAATTAAAATTTTGACAATAACATTGTATTTACTTATTTTGAGCGTAAATGAAAAATTTACAACAAAACTTAGGAAGAAAAACCAAGAAACTTTGTTTTGGAGTGCGCACTATCTAAAAGATAATATTAAGAGCTAAAATTTATGGAGATTTTTTTTTATTAATTTGGAAGCACCCTAAATATTTATATATATATATTCATTTTTTGCTCGACTGCATTACTATTATCGTACCCGAGTAATAATAATACTTATCTCATTTAGTCTGTTAAACTTTGCCCTCGTTTTCAAATTTCTTGTTTGCTTTTGTTTAATTACTAAATCAGTGTAGATAGTAAATAAACATTTAAGATAAGACGAATACTTGTAGATAACTACAATTTTGTATTCAGACATATCAAATTTAAATTAATACATAGTCAAGTAGTAAATAATGGGGAAAAAATTTGATTTTTATAGGTCTGTTTTCGGATAACATAGCAATCGTAATTGACAATATATATGAAATATAAAATTGATTAAAAACGTTTGTTTAAGTTTAGCAAATTTCTATTTAGTATTTAATTATATTTAAATTAATTTTGTGTGGTTTATAAGGGGGAGGGTGTGTTTGAAAAAAAAACATGAATTATCACGCGGAGAGAGGGTTATAATAATATATCACGTGCGTTTATATTTCACCTGAATTTTTTTTAAATCCAAAAATTGTCAAAAAAATAATAAAAAAATTATATTTTTTTTGTAACTAAATATATGAAATATTTTGGTGGGAAAGTGGGTTAATTTTGAATATCAGGTCATCGGGTCCAAAAATCCTTAAAAAATCGATCACGTGATCAGTGGACGCTTCCTAACTTAGTTAAGTTCATTGCATTTCTTTACGTTTTAGAGGTTTCTGAACATTTTGGTATACCTCAGAAAAAATGTATGTCTGGAACAATTTTTCGTAGACGATTTCGGGCGCACGGATCGAGCGATTTGAATGGTTCAAAAAACATTCAATTCCTATTGATAGGAACATGTGCTGATTAGTTTTTGGCAAAGGCAGGTCCAGCCGTTACGGAGATATGAAGCAAAGAACGCATAAAATAGAAATCTAGTTTTTGAGGGAACGGAGCATCCGATTCGAATGATTCAAATTTATTTGCTAGTATTGACGAAACGATCGTTTTGGGAAAAACAAAAGAAATTTTGTGTATGTTTTTAAATTTCCAATAATTTTTCTTTTTAGTATCGATAATAATTCGCATTTTAACTTTAATTCACGCTAAAGTTCTAAACATCACTTATATAATTGAAATAAATAACTTTAACTCTGCACTACACTTAATATAATTTTTATAAATATGAGATAAGGTCCTTCGATCTAACTCCTATTGATTAAGTTTTACTTATTCAATTTTTATGTAAACATATATGAACGTTGTCGTCCAATTTATTAGCTTCTATATTTTGTCTATAAAATAAGAATGTTGAAAGTTACAGTATTGGTAATAATTTATTTGAAAACATTTAATATTTCTCGTACATTTCGTTACGGTACGGTACGGGAAGTTCCAGCAACTAGCCTTAAGGCACGATGCCATAATCACTAGTTTATGATTATTTGTGTGAGTTTGTTAATAGAAAAATTCCAATTTTGGGGGTCTTAAATTATTATTAATTGGAGCGCCCAGTAGGCGTTGGGGAATATTTATATTGACAATTATTCTATTAGAGTCCCCATGACTAATGTTGACTGAAATTGAGTGTGAGTTTATTTTGCACACGTGAGAAAATATATACAAAACTAATAATAACCAATTGACGAATGATGTATGAATGGAAACTCCTCCTGCACGGTTATTCGAATTTTGATCTTTTCGAAGTCTTTTTGACGTTTGTTAAGGAAAATTTTAAGGATTTAAATGATTTTAACAGAGCTGTCACTTGCGAGAAAAGTCATTTTACTTGAAATTTGAATATAAGTTAAATAATGAGCCTGGATATTATTAGAATATAATATATTCATGATTATGAATAAAAAATGTAATGTCTTCATTATTATTGCGGAAAAGCAGCTGAGATGTGCCAGAAATTAAAATAATCTAATTTTAATAAGATACAGTTTATGCATGGCATTATATAATTCAGTGTGTCAGATTTTTTTTTAACTAATGCATTTCATATTTTGCCTTACTTTACTAGATGATTTCACAATACAAAAAAATATTTATAAGTTTCATTATGTCAAAAATTCATTTGTTTGACGTTGGATATGGAATATTTAGTTAGTTGATCGTAAATCCAATAGTGCACATATGAATAGAATTTGACAAATTAATGCACTTAAAATATTTATTTAAGTAATATTGTATA